CTCTCATATTTGGGCATACCAGGTGCTTTGACAAAACACCTAATCATTCCCCTAGCTCAGCTGATAAGGGAGAGCTTGTGGCTTAGAGGTTAATATAACTGCCTAACGTAAAATAGCCCAAGTTCAAACCCCAGTAAGGGTATGGCTAGCTGATGAGAGCAAAATAGATCTTTACTAGTTTCCCTTCATTTATTTATCAGCAAAAAAATGTTACATTCGTAGATTTTCATGGGTGTAGGTATGCTGGTCTTGTTGTATTTGGGTCTTTTCCCATGTAAGATTGAGATTGTCTTGACAACGTTTCGGCAAGGTCTCACTCGCCATCTTCAGGCTGGGTTTTGGGCTTAAAGTCTGGTCGGAGCTGCCGTCTTTCTATAAATCTTGGTGGAGGGTGTGGTGTGCTAGTGTTGTTTCAGGAAGTGGAATGATTGGTTATGTGATTGTATCATGATTGGTAGATTGGTGCTGATGACAACACTCTCTCAATTCTCCTGTTTGTTTGTCCTATGTATGTTGCAGGGCAGATATTGCATGGTATTTCGTAAATATACCATGCAATATTGTAGATGTATTTCATAAATATTTAGGCTTGAATGCAAAATCTGTCCTGCAACATACATAGGACAAACAAACAGGAGAATTGAGAGAGTGTTGTCATCAGCACCAATCTACCAATCATGATACAATCACATAACCAATCATTCCACTTACTGAAACAACACTAGCACTCCACACCCTCCACCAAGATTTATAAAAAGACGGCAGCTCCGACCACACTTTAAGCCTAAAACCCAGCCTGAAGATGGCGAGTGAGACCTAGCCGAAACGTTGCCAAAACAATCTGAATCTTACACGGGAAAAGACCCTAATACAACAAGACCAGCATACCTACATCCGTGATAATCTACGAAAACAAATTTTTATATGGAAAGTATTTCATAGATAAAAATAAGTTTGAGTTATGATGTCAATTTCTCTTCTATATTGTATACAGATGAGAAGCCATGCTTTCAAAATTTCTATTATGTGCACTCACTGATGTTACAGAAATCCTAGCCTTCTGATCCTATTTGATAACAGAAGAGCAAATAAGAAAGTTTTCTATCTTTCTCATCTTCCCATCCTGTACTGTGCAGGGTTTGAAATTATGATATTGTTTTTAACAGTCATCAGAGCAGTTTTCTTAACAGTAATGGCTAATTCTAATTGATACTCTTTCAAAACATAGTAAGCAGTGCATATATTTGGCGATGTATTAGAAACATCAGATTGCTAGAGATATGGGCGAAATGAGAGGTTGCCAATCCATGTCACTGGCTAGGATGAAATGATATGCCCAAATCAACAAGAATATTGCCCAGCCAGATGCAGTACAATGTGTTCCTAGATGCTCCCAGGTTTTTTTTCTGTTCAGATGAACAGCTGCAACAGAGTTTGTGTGCAATTACTGGTGTTGTCATCCAGACACCAACTTCTCAGTGAAGACTCTGACTAATAACTTTGTAATTCTACCTTCTACCTCACCCATTACTGGTATACTAAACATAGGAAAAAGACAATTATTGTGTAATTTGCAGAATGGGAGCTGGCAGAGTTTCCAAAATTATGATTTGGAATTCCCTGGTTCAAAAGTTTCTTTTGAACTTGCTATAGCGTTTCAGAAAAACATGGGGAATGTTTGTTTTTTCTTCCCTTCCACCTTCAGCATTTTGATATAAGCTATGAATATATTGCTCAACATTCAATAATGTTGAGGATGTATTTAAGTAACAATGGAAAAGCAGAGAAGGAAATCAAGGATGAGGGAACATGAAGGAACAAAAATATGGATGTAGGTTTTATGAAACTCAAGGTGGCCATAGAAGTATATATTTATGTTTCCTTCTGTTCATTCGTGTCCGACTCTCAGAGACTGCCTGGACATGTCCCTGCAGCATTCTTGGCAATTTATTTCAGAAATGGTTCGCCATTGTTTCCTTTCTAGGGCTGAAAGTGGTAAGTGGTAAAATAACAAAAGAAACAAAGGGAAAGCAGCTTAACGCTACAATAGCATAAAATGTAAGACATGTAGTAGAGTAAGAGTAATAGTAGAAATAAATAATTTACACTATTTAAATTTACATTAGTTAAGCCTATTTAAAAAGTTAACAGAAATAATTCCACTCCTGAGCTTACATTTCCATTCATTTAGAACATGCAGTCAAATTAAATTATTGCTAAGTATTGTGATTTGTAGCTTTAATATAACTTTAACACAAGCTGTATATGATTTCCCTTAATACTGGGCTAGAAACAAATTGAAAGTATTATGTGTCATATGTGTGTCAAATTTTTACATGGTGTTCTCTGTGTTCATTGATACATTTCCTAATTTGATAATTAACATAGTTTGTTGTGCATGATCACAGAAAAAAGTTGTTCAGAAGTTGTACAGAGGTATATGGGTTTTACTTCATTTCATACAGGGTGGAGAGTATGCCAGACGCTCTGCACTACTTGATAATGATGAGCCACTTGTTTACTATTATGATGATGTGAGAACGGCCTATGATATCTTCCAAAGGGGCATGCATGTGTCAAGTGAGTATTGATCATTTGGAAAGGAAGAATAATTCTGGAAGGAGCATATCTTACGAACTTTCATGGAGCCATACCAATTAGCCAGATATGAACATCCATATACACTGGTTCCAATCACTAGATACTGAAACTGAAAATCATAGGACTTGAGAACTAACATTTGAAGTTAGATAACTTATATCAATTCTCTGGGAAGTGGAATCTAGCAACATGAATTTGAATTTTAGTATTCTAATATAAAAATCCAGAACTAAGGTGTTTAGTCATTGAATGTTGCTTGGTGCCTTATTTTACTTATTTTTAAATTTTATTTAACATTTTGAACTTTAAATCTCTACAGACAATGGACCTTGTTTGGGTGTAAGGAAACCAAATCAGCCATATGAATGGATTTCTTACAAGGAGGTAAGTGGAAAGGCAAATTTGTATGTGGTCGCAATGCAATGATAAATTAGATGTACTCCATCAAAGCAAATGTTAATTTGACCTTTCCTTAAATGGAAAATAACTGGAAAGTTGGGGAACTCGGAGAACTCAAGAGAAAGAGAGGAAAGATGCTACCAAGAATTGAATAGATTGAAAAGAAAAGAAATGAAGATTAAAATGTCACAAATTAATTATACTGTAAATAAGAAGAAAGGGATAGTTTTGATTGATTGATTGATTGATTTTTGGGGGCATTCAAGTCAGTCTTGACTCCTGACAACTACCCGAACAAGCCCCTGCAGTTTTCCTGGCCAAGATTTCAGAAGTGGTTTATCACTGCCTGCTTCCAAGGGCTGATAGAGTTTACCTCAAGATCATGTAGCTGGATTTGTACCTAAGGCAGGATGAGAACTCACGATTTTCCTGTGATCGTGGAGACAGCAGCCAGACTGGGTTTGCTCCGTCCAGTAACCAATTGCACTGAGTCTACACTTATGATGTCATTGGGCCCTTGTAGCTCCTCAGTTCAGACTCAGTCCAACCACGATTGGCTGTGAGAATTGATCTCTCCTCCAAATTTTAACTTTATAACTTTAATTGGCAATTTTTTAAAAAAATATTTTTCCTTGAATTGAATTTTTTTCTTCTGACCAAATTGGAGGGAAATTCAGAACTGCTTTCTGGCTGCCTCTCTTCAGTCGTCTGACTGCCTGTGGCCATGAGTTCACTCAGGAAGCCTGCCTTGCAGTCAGATCGGCCAGCTCACGAGCCACGGCTCCGGAGCTGTTTCCACGCAGCGCTCCTTGACTCTGGGCACTCTGAGGGACGCGCGACCGGCCCTTTCGCACACAACGGTTCCAGGAGAGGTCGACCATTCAGTGGATCACCCGGCCACTAAGAGTGTCGGCGGCTATTTTGTGGGTTGGAAAAGCCCGCGAAGATAGCGGCAGCCATTTTGAGGCTTGGAAAAGCCTCAGAGAAAAAAAGTGAGCCATTTTGGACAGTTTAAAAAAGGCGTGAACCCTGCAGCAGTCGATACAAGTGCCCAGCAACCCAGAATCATCTCAGGTGAACCGGATTAGAAGCGCCTGGCCAGCAAATGGGTGAGACCGTTGCCTATCTTTATTGTGATTTGGATTTATGTCGGGTGATATGGCTGACCAAGCTGTGGCTGCAGATAAAGGATTAGAGGAGGCAGGGCCATCTGGGGCAAAGAGCAGTAGGAAGTGGCAAGCCAAAGAGGCTTCTTCCTCAGGGGTAAGCCCCAAGGTCTCTAAAGCGACTACCAGGGCAGAAGAGCGCAGGCAGAAGGCTCTTGAGAAGGGGTTTCAAAAGGCCCAGAAACAGCAACAAATTGTAACTGCCCAACCCTCTCCTCCTCCCCCGGAGGATCCTCAAGTGGCCTCCCCAGCTCCACCTGTCTTGCCTCCCATGGGCCCTTGCCTTTTTATGGCTGATTCAGATGGGGAACTGTCTTCTCCTCCTCTTTTATAGAGCCTGAAAACAGAGGCAATTTCTTTAATGTCCCTCTCAATAGGGAACACACCTTTGAACAGGCTGCCCTCCCTATTGCGCATGGTTCTGGGATTCCCCAAGCCATGTACACCTCTCCTACAGATATGGCAACCATCATTGCTGAAACAATTAAACAGGTCATGGCTGCTGTCCTACAACAGCGCCCCAACCTGCTCCATCACATAGCCACAAGCATAAATCTTCTGCAACAACCTGATCCCTCTGCTTTTACCTCTCAGGCTTCAGTTGGTGGGGAGCAAGATAACTTGTGGGATTCAGACCTGTCTGATGATGAGGTGGTCACCCCGGATGCCCTGGCCTTTGCTGGATTATTCAAAACCGATCACTTTAAGTCCCTTCTACTTAAAGCCATTAAAGCTGCTAACTTACCATCTTCTGCTTCAGCTTCTACTTCACAAGAGAAACCGACAGAACCAGCTACAATTGAGAGTCCCAGTACCCCATTCACCGAATCTACTGTGGAAAAGGAGGTGATCCCTATTCCCAAGATCTTCCTGAATGTGATCCAGAAACAGTGGGAGTCGGGCACGGGTCCACAGCCAACCAACTTCGACAAACATCTCTACAACATTGCACCGGAACTCACCAAATTCTTCAAGACCCCCCCAGTGGATGCATCGGTTGCAGCCCTGTCATCCCATACAGCGGTCTCTGGAGCCCCTGAGGAGAAAAGGTCAGATCAAACCTTAGTCAAAAACTATCACACTGAGGCCTGGGCTGTTAGGGACTCCATGGCCACTTCCTTTTTCTCTAGAGCGGCCCTAGTCTGGATTGAGCAACTTTAGGGGCGCATTGCTCCTACTGACACTAGATCACATAGGGACTTCAACAAGATTAGGGCAGCTGTTGAATTTGTGGCTGATTCTTCTCTCAATGCTGCCAGGCGTCTGCTTTGGCTCAAGCCATGGCTGATGGATGTCCATACCAAATGGCGCCTGGCAGCCTCCCCCTTCAGTGGCACCCAATTATTTGGTACCCCTTTGGATCCGTACCTCAAGGAATCTAAAGACAAGCGCAAGGTCCTTTCATCCATCTATAAGAAAAAAGACAGTCATCCCGCTCCCTACGATAGGAGGTCACCCTTTCGGCCAGTGGACGGGGGTACTTCCTTCTCCAGTCTGCAACGTCAATCTTACACTCCCAGACAGGGATCTCACCAGGACAGATCTAACAGAAACACACAGCGTTTCCCTCCCAAGAAGTCTTACCATGGAGGAAACAGACTCCAATTTTCTTGTTGAAAATGACTATCTGGACTCTCTTCTGATCGGAGGCCGCCTGGCGTTCTTTGCCCACCTCTGGGAAGAGACCACAACAGACAATTTGGTACTCAAAACTGTCATATTTGGCCTCATGCTGGAATTCCTGACCATCCCCCAGGAATACTTCGAGCCATGCCCGATCTCTCGGTGTCCTCGCAAGAGGTCACTGATGGAACAAGCCATTCATCACATGTTGGAGATCCGGGCTATCCCAACCGGTTCCTCCCCATCAGGAAGGGCAGGGTTTTTATTCCCGCCTATTTGTGGTACCGAAAAATTCCGGGGGATGGAGAGCAATTTTGGATCTAAAATCGTTGAACTACTGGCGGTTCAAAATGCATTCCCTGCACACCATCCTGCAGAAAGTCAGAAAAGGCAACTTCCTCACGTCGGTGGACTTGACCGAAGCTTACCTTCATATTACTATCTTCGTAGACCACTGAAAATATCTCTGTTTCTCTTATGGGGGCACTTCCAGTACCGAGCTCTTCCATTCAGTCTGTCCTCGCCCACCCACCCCACCCCCCCGGGTCTTCACTGCGGAATCACCGGTTCGGGGTGAATCTCAAAAAGAGTCACCTCGTTCCCGGCACTCGCATTCTCCACCTCCGAGTCTTAACAGACACCGTGGCGGAGAGGGTGTTTCTGTCCAATGATCGCATACTCAATCTGAAGGAGCTTGTCAGGAAGGTGCTATACCTCCCCAAGGCGTCACTTCTCTCCCAAGTCTTGGGCAAGATGGTGTCTTACTTCGGGGTTATCCCGTGGGCCAGGTTCTACAGCAGGAGCCTTCAGTGGTTCATGCTTCCACATCAGAAGGCCGACAGGAGCTATTCTCCTCTCCGGGTTCCCCTTCCCAGCCAGGTCTTACAATCCCTCAAACGGTGGCAGTCCCCAGCGATTTTGCAGGGGACCTTTTTCAGGGATCCGTACCGTCTCACATGACGGACATGACGGACACAGGTCTGACAGGATGGGGGGCACACATGCAGGACCTAGTGGCTCAGGGACAGTGGTCCTTCGAAGAGAGCCAAAACAGCATAAATTGGCTAGATTTGTGGGCTGTTCGCCTCTCCCTCAGACAATTCCAACACAAAGTTCAGGACTGCCACATATTAGTCCTAACAGACAATACCACAACCAAGGTGCACATAAACAGGCAGGGGGGAACACGTTCCTGGCCCCTAATGCAGGAGTCCAATTTGTTGTGCTGGTGGGTGGAATCTTACCTGTCATCTCTCAGGGCAGAGCACATCTCAGGTGTCTCCAACGTCCAGGCAGACTGGCTGAGCTGGACAAGGATAGATCAGGCGGAGTGGAGCATCCATCCGAACCTCTTTCATCGAATGACACTACGATTCGGTTTCCCAGTCCTAGACCTGTTTGCGATGGCAGACAACAACCCAGGTATTATTCGCAGTTCATGGATCCCATGGCAGAAGGAGTAGATGTCTTCAGGTACCAGTGGCCCAAAGGTCTCCTGTATGCGTTTCCTTCCCTTCCCCTCATTCAGAGAGTAATTTGGAAAATGTTGGAGCAGGAGGCAGAACTACTGCTGCTAGCGCCGGACTGGCCACGCCGGCATTGGTCTGCTGACCTAGTGACTCTGTCAATCTCCACTCCATGGCACATCCCACGATCTCTCCTGTCTCTGCACCAGGGGTCAGTTTGTCATCCCGAACCCCAGTGGCTATAATTAACCACATGGCGATTGAGCGGCAAGCCTTAACAGCCGATAACATCTCCTTCAACGTCATTGTTACCATTCAGGCATCACGCAGAAGTTCTACTAACCGCATTTACGATGCCACCTGGCGGGCATTCGCTCTATGGTGTACCAACAAGACTATTGACCCACATAAAGCGTCCATTCCTCAGATATTGGACTTCTTCCAGAGGGGCTTGATCAGGGCCTTACCCCTAATACATTACGCTGACAGGTGGCTTCTTTGGCTTCTGTCCTGGACAGTCTTGCCTCCGACCATCTACCTTCTCATCCCTTGATCCGGAGATTTCTCCATGGAGCGTCCAACCTGTGTCCCTCTGCCATCCATAAGTATCGGACTTGGGACTTGGGACGTGTCCTAGAGGCTCTGACTGCCTTGCCCTTTGAACCTATGAGATCCACTTCTTTGAAACCGCTGTCCTTTAAGACATTGTTTTTGGTGGGTATAACATCTGCAAGATGTATTTCTGATTTGGCTGCCCTTTCAGTCAGGCACGACTTATGTGTGTTCCATCCAGATTGAGTCATTTTAAGACTGGACCTGACATTCATACGGAAGGTGACAAGCTGCTTCTACAGGGGTCAAGAGTTAACCTTGCCTGATTTCTTCCCTTATCCTCGTCATGAGAAGGAGCGTAAGTGGCACACTCTTGACGTACGACGTGCCCTCAAGATCTACATTGACCGTACTGCTTTGCTCCGCCACTCGGAAGCTCTCTTAGTTTCCTTCTGCCAGGCTTCCTTGGGTACCAAGGCTTCATCGTCGAGTCTGGGGCGATGGATCAGGGCCTGTATTAAACTGTCTTATGAACTCCAGTGCTTGCTGGTTCCTCTAAACATTACAGCTCATTCTACAGAAGTGCTACGACAACTGCTGCTTGGTCCACGCAGGCCACATTGGAAGAGGTCTGCCGGGCAGCCATGTGGGCTTCTCCCACGGTCTTCATACGTCATTACAAGTTACACAAATATGCATCGGCTGACGCAACCTTTGGGCGCAGGGTGCTGCAACAAGTGCTTGTGCCTTAACGGACTTTCTTTAGTATCCCCACCTAATGGACAGCCCAGTCTTTGGTACGTCCCAGTCTGGCTGCTGTCTCCACGATCATAGGAAAATGGGTGTTGGTTCTTACCTGATATGCTCATTTTCTGTTGAAGTGGAGACAGCAGCCAGCCCCGCCCTGGTATGCGTCACACACTGGAAATTTTTTGTGCGGAGGAAAGAGAAACAGAGACTATGGACTTGCACCTGTACGTTTTTCTCACAATTCTCACTTGAGTCTACAGTTTTCCTTTGCCTGAACTGGGGAGGAGCCACAAGGGCCCGATGACATCATAAGTTGTAGACTCAGTCCAATTGGTTACTGGACGGAGCAAACCCAGTCTGGCTGCTGTCTCCACTTCAACAGAAAATGAGCATATCATGTAAGAACCAACACCCATTTTCCTATGATCGTGGAGACAGCAGCCAGACTGGGTCGTACCAAAGACTGGGCTGTCCATTAGGTGGGGATACTAAAGAAAGTCCGTTAAGGCACAAGCTCTTGTTGCAGCACCCTGCGC